CACTCTTGATCACATGTGCGTACACATGAAAGTACACTCACACACATAGACACACACACAGAGCGAATAAGAAGCCTTTGGAAGGCTTCCTTTTCCCCCACTCACTCTCACACACCCACTCGTCATCACGTTTCAGTTCTTGGCATCCTCCTTTCTCCTCCGAGCCCAGAATATGACATGGCTTTGGGGTTGCATCTCAGCTGCATACACACAATCAGCCTCACAGTACAAGACATATGGCAAACAAAATCAAGCAGCATTTCAAACATTTGACAGACGAAGATAACCAAAGGACCACATGGTGATTTACTTTGCGGTACCTGTCTGAGGTACGGAGAAGAAACTTTCCTCTGATATTTTCATTTTGTCGATGTTAAAAATATCAGTTTTCATCACTTTTCCTTGCTTCTTTCAAATCCTCAGGCTGTCAACGAAAGGGAAACAGTTTAATATTTTTTTAACCAAGCCAAAGAAACCTCTCACCCTTTACCGTTTCACAGTCATTCTGGTGCTCATTTTGGAACAGCCGGTGGGATATTTTGGTATGTGCTGTGCACCATGGTGTGGCGAGCCATTTTTGGGGTGTGTTTTCCACAACTATCCCCCTCTGTGACTGCCTTTCTGGAGTCAGACGATCTAAAAGCTATAATCCTCTACTTAGGGTATCAACGGTTGGAAAAGTCAGGAAAATAAGTCCTTGTTTTTCACTATTAATCTGGCAAAGCCTATAAGTCCCCCTCATGCCTCTATGTAGTGATATGATTATGGCATGGCAACTATTACTACATGATTAGTAGCTGTGAGTAGCTGGGTCAGTCAGATTGCATTATGGGATATTCTGTTGTATGGTCTGTACAGAAGCTGCTGGAGGAAAGTTCTTTGTTTATGTGTTTATGTGTTTATGTGTTTGTGTGTGTGTGTGTGTGTGTGTGTGTGCCAGTAGCATAAATTACACAGGTGTTGATGCCACTCATCCTTTCAATTCTCTATAGGGCTGATATGCAATACCAAACACCAAACTTGAAATAGCCTATCATAAACACACACACGCAACAGAGACTAACACACACCATGCCATAAATACCAAGAACTAAATTTTGCCATCCATTTGTTTTTGTGATGCCATTAAGTCCAAGAGCTGCTTACCAAAAGAGAGTAAACATAGTAAAGGCCAAGATGAGATTTCTAATACATTTTGAGCCCAGCTAGGAAACATTGGTTGGTCCAACATTTTGGTGTTGGATACTATTGGATGGATGGCCTTAAAATGTTGTATACACTCACGGTCTCCAGAGGATGGAGCCTACTTTGGTGACATCCTGCATTTCACTCTAGTGCTTCTATAGCTTTTAGTGAAATGTCTCGACAACTATTGGATGGACTGCCATGAAATCAGGGACTGTTCATCTAGTGCCACCAGATGGTCACATAGACTGGCACCAATTTTGATACAGATATTCATGTCCCCCTCAGGATGAATTACAATAACATACTTTGGAGATTTCCTGAATTTTCCTCTAGCTCCATCATCAGTTAAGTTTCTTATGTGTGCAGTACTTTGGTTTATGACTAAATACATGAAAATCTAATGACATTCCCACAAGACATGTTAGCATGCTAAGGCGCTAAACTAAGATGGTAAACGCAATCAACATAGTACCTGCCTAACATCAGCATGTTAGCGTTGTTATAGTGTTATAGTGAGCATGTTAGCACGCTCATGTTAGCATTAGCTCAAACTAAATTTGGTTAAAATGTGTCGCATGTGTGACACACAAGACATTTAAAATATTTCCATTTTGATTGCAGCCATAGAAAACATGTCTTTGTTTGATTTAAATATTTTATCTAGTGTGAACATTATATAGCTTCAATGAAGAATAAGTGATATCACACAGTCAGACTGTAAAATAAGACGATTTTAACAATCTTAAAGGTACTTAAGAGGAAACAAAAAAAGGTTTAAACTGTGTATTGAGGGGATGATATGCTCATTATACACAACTGCAAACTTCCAGTCGGCCTCAGTCACTCAGCAGGGTTCTGAGTGTATAGCGCTCAGTTCTCAAGGCTGGTCCCACCTATTGTTTAGATCTGCTTGGGGAAACAGAAAGGCAGGCAGAAGGAAAGAACCTAATGTGTTGCTTCTTGCCTGTGCATTCTTGGCATAGCTCTTTGCCCTTTTCATTTTTTGACTGTGATTTTTTTTTCTCCCTTGCCTTAATAGTGAAGCCAAGGGTCCACAGCCAGCCAAGTCCCACCGCTCCAGTCTGGCTAAGCCACAGAAAGCTTGGCTTCCACTACACTCTGCTCTCTCTTTCTCTCTCTCTCTCTTTCTCCATGTATGACTACAGTATGCGTCTCTCTCTCTCTTTCTCTTTGTATGTTTCTCTATGTCGCTGTCCCTCCTATTTGTCTCCTTCCTTTCTGTTTTATTTTTTGTATCTGTCTACATTGGCCAATCTGCCTCTTTGTCTCAATTTCTCTTTTCTTTTTCTCTTGTTCTCTTCTAACAAACACACACACCACCCTCTCTATTTCCCTGCTTGTCAGTCTGTCACAGCCAGCGGACTGGTTTAGCAGGCGGGGTTCAGCTGGGCTCCACAAACACATGGCTCTCAATCTGCCTTCTTGTGTGTGCTGGAATGGTATTTCTTTTTCTGTGCTGTGTATGCTTTCTATTTCATCTTCCTTTGATTTTATGGACACGTTTAGAGAAAGTTAAATATTTTTGCTCTTATACATATGGCACGAGGCAGACATCATACTGTGTATGGCCATATGTGTTTCTTTTTTGTAGTGAACTTTGTATTTAGACACATTTTAACCCATTTGGATAATTTGAAATGTCTTCATTGTCACATATAACCTCCAAAAAACATATTGCATAACGATTAGGTAACGCTGGAGGTATTAAAGCAATGATGTGTCTTCTAAAATTCAGCTGCTCCTCAGAAGACATGTCTTTTCGACATAAAAAAGAACAAATGTGAGTTTGAATGTATCCATAAGAGACAGTGTTGGCAATTTGCTCCTCTCCGTCTCTCAAGTGAAATTGAATTATAGATCAAGAACCCCTTGTGTGCACTAAAAACAGAAATCTCCAACTCAAACAAAGCCTGCTCCCTCTTCTGCTACGCCCATTTCTATCTGATCAGCACCATTCATTCCGCCACTTAGACAGGAATCTAATTAGACCAGAATATCAACATTAAAACACATATCTGCCCCCCCTCCTCTCTCTCTTTGTTTCTTTGCTCTTCCCTACAGCTGGTGAGAGTATGGTTTGTGGCTGCCCCTCCCCCAGCATTTGAACAAGCCAATAAGAGAGCACGTCAGCAAAATAACCCCCCCTCCACACACCATCCCTCTCTCCCTTACCACCCCATCCATTCCCAACCCCATCCCCCAGAGTCCTCTCTACACCCCATCCCCCTTTCCTACCACCCCTAACCCACTTACTCATCTTGCCTCCACCCTCCCACACACCCACGAGACTTCCCCACCCCTCTCTACTTTCTCACCCTTGCTTACCCTCCCTACTAACTGCTCCCCAGTCTTCTTCCCCCTTTCCTCTCACTCTGCTTCCCACTCACCCTTTTTCCTGGACACCCTTTCTTCAAACTCCCTCCCCTTCATTACACCCACTCGCCATTTTCCTTATCCCCATCTCTGCCGCTCCCCTTCCTTCCCCCACCTTTCTCCCCCCTCTCCTCTCTCTTCTGTGGCCTTATCTTATGAATATCGGTAGCACACTGGGTGAAAAATTGATCCTCCCCGCCTGTCTGTGGACGCTGCCACAGCGCATTAGCCTGCGTGTGAGTGTGTGTTATGTGTGTGTGTGTGGAGGCTTGCTGCTTGCGGGAGGGAGGGGAGGAGGAGTGAGGGAAGGAGGGTGGGAGGGATATTTGCATATCATCAAAGTAGGGAAAGGGAGTGTAATGAGGAGAGAATGTGTGTGTGTTGGGTGTTATGTGTGTATTAGGAGTGGTGTTGATGGGTTGGGGTTGAGTGTGTGTGAAATGAGAGAACAAGACCAAGGGAACAGTGTATGGGAGGTGAGATGGACTGGGATGGGTATAGGTGTGTGTGTGCAAGTGTGTGAGAGGTCAGACAGACAGACAGAGATCACATTAATTTTTCCCCCTCACATGCCATCCATCACCCCCCCACTCCAGACACATATGCATAGAATATCAACACTACACATTATTTACACCTATTTATGTCAGAAATGCTTCATATGAAGACAATATCCTTGACCTTTAACACAACAGTGATTAAATGTTTCCACAGAAAACACTACTGCCTTCTCTAGATTCACGAATTGCTGTGGGTAAAAAAGGATACACTGCCATACTCCATCACATTTTACTATACTTGTAAGAACACACGGAGCTCAGTCTGTCTGTGTAGGGATGGTGACACATGCACAAACCTGTTCTATCCGTGAGAAATGTGGCTCAGGTCACACAAGCAGACTCGCCTTCTTCTTTAGGCTTGATGGTTGAAACTGAATAAGGCTCATTTATTTCAGACGTGGGCTAAATAACCCTAATATCTTCTATATTTGTCACTCTTTATTTAATTTCTATCTCCCTATCTTGTTTTCCGGCGACTGTAAAGTGGTATGCAACTTTTGCAAACACAGCTATTACTTATTTTTAAAGCGAACTTGCGGCTCTAGAGGAAACAGCTGCAATGGGTAGGCTTGGTATTTGTAAATAAATAATTTAAAGCCCCCTTTTGCCTGCCTCTCTGCTATCTACGGCTTCTGATTTAACAGGAGACATAGTCGATTACCGACCCTGATCACATTCGTATTACTAGTAAACCCGTGGTTCAAAAGTGAAGTGAATGAAAGCAAACCGCAGTGAAACGCTTTTAAAAATGGTGCCGTCTTATTTTGTTCTCTGTGAATGTGCGGGGAAAGGTGTATGCTAAAAATAAAACTACAAACGCTGATAGTTTTCCGGTATCGATTGGGCAGGCCTGGTGAAATCCGACTTGAGCGTTGACGGTCTGTCACATTTCACGCTGACACCAAGCGAACAGTGGGCGCATACACACACACTCACATACACTCACACGCAGGGCTCACCATATTATCGACAGATCCGAGTCAGGAGTACAGTCGAGGAGAACACATTGAAGGTAAGTTATTTTTAAAAAAACAACTACTCAGAGCAGGAAAATTAGACCGGGTTTCAGCGGTAGACTCAGAGGCGGGGTCATTCTTTAAGATCGTGTTAATTTTAGCCGTGGTTCTTTCTTTGTAATTTTAGGTTGACCACTTTTTTATCTTTCTCTGTGCGCTTTGCTGTTTGCCTCTTTCCAGTTGGGAAGACCTTACCGGGTCACCCTAACTTAATGAAACCACAGCGAATAAGTTTTTCTTTTAAAGCGTTTTAGCTTTGTTACTATTAACCAGGGAATTTAAAGGGATTCGAGGCGTGGGTGGCTAGCTGACGGGATTTTTCTCTGTGTTGGTCGGCGGAGGAGGAGGGGTTGGTATGGCTTGCCAAGCTAGCGAACGACATTACGCAGACTGGCTAAACAAGTTTAAATGGTCGTTAAAGTGGACAAAGTTGCCTTAAACTCAATTTGGTGGTAAGTACGGTTATAAGAAAGCGGACGTGTACGCTAACACGGTTGTTGTACGATTAGAATAAACGCAATAACGTGTTTACCCCGGTATGCTATGCGCACGAACGTTAGCATGCCCCCCCCAACGTTAGCCTCCTGTGAGCTAGCGAGCCACGGCCGTACTCGGTGCTCTGACTGCGGCCCCGCTGCGGTTGTTGTGGACTAAACGGTGCCGGTGAGCCACGAGATTTAACGTTACTGTATTGTGGAAGTGGCTTCATATTTTAAAAAAAAATTAAGTTGCCACCCCCTGGCCACAGTTGTGTGTGTGTGTGTGTCTCCATAAACACGAGATATCGATAATATCCCGAATAGACCGACGTTGTTTTAGGCAGTAGTTGTTGAACCAGTTTGGGGAATCAAGCTGTGTTTAGTAACGTTACTTAGACAAACTTGAGGGGAAGTAAGTTACGACAACCATGCTTGTTAAACAAGCAGTGGCGGTTATCATTAAGTGTTTGTGTAAACAGTCAAAACACAGCGTGCCCCGTAGCTCAGTTTCCCTGTTAACCACTTTCCAACTTTGTATTTTTAAACAGTGACTAAAAGCTTCTTCTGTGAGAGGAAACGAGAGAAAAAAAACACAGAAAAAAAAGAAACAGAGGAAATCCCCCGAAAGGAAATGCCAATCGCAGCCGCTGGACAGCCAACGACTCAGGAGCCTAGAGTTTGCTCCCGGCTGCCCTCCACCCCGGAGCCTGTCCCTAAAGGGGCTGATTTATTCGACGAGGCGGGGGCGGCGGAGTCGGCGGAGCGAACAGAGTACGGGGGCGCAGAGGGGGGCAGAGGACTCGGGGGCTATAGTTACAGCCAGAGCGGCGCTAGGGGCTTTGTACAACCCGGATCCATCAACGGCTCTCCGCCGCAGTCCCCAGCCGCGTCCTCCTCCTTTCTCTTCCACCCCCTTCACCCCCACCAAATGGCCATGGAGCCCCCACGGACTCGATCGCGTTCTCGGTCTGGATATTACCAGCAGTATGGTGGTGGAAATGGCAATGGGATTACCGGCAGCGGAGTCATGGGATCTAACCATCACCACCACCATCCACACCACCACCCCCACCACCACCACCTTCAGCAGCAGCAACTACATCCACAGCAGCAGCTCGGTGCCGGTTGCGCACCACTTGGAGCTCACGGCAACCACTCGGAGAACCAGCCGCGAGCCCCAGGAAGTAACCCCTCTCCCGGCATTCAGAGGCTTTCTTCGGTTCCCGGAGCGCACCGCATCCCGGCGGCAGGTAAATGTCCCCACTTGTCATTGTCACTGACTGTGTATGTAGTAGTGTACCCTCTATCAGGATAATCGGAGGAATCACACATTTTATTCGACTTGTGAGCACGTTGAAGGCAAGTTGAAGCGATAAAAGTCGATGTGCTTAATACCCCGGGGAGGTTTTTACAGGCAAATACAGAGAAGGAGGGGACTGTCCTGGGGTTGGCATGACTAAAGTGTCGGTGCATGTGTGAACACATTTGTTGTATTCTAATTAGACAGGGTGTTTTATGTGCTTGGCACAGAGCTGCATTGTGAATGTGGTGCACAGTTAGTACATACAGTAGGTAAATGAACAGCAGCAGTCTTGGTGAAATGCTGTGCATACTTAGTTACCCACACTGTGTTTCTTAAGGCACTGTGGCATGTCCACTTTTAGTCAACTACACAAATATTGATGTAGCTAGGTAACAAGCCTTTCGGGGTGTACTGTACAGACTACTAATCTTTGCCTAAACTAGGCATGATCTATTCTCAAAGACTCTCACAGGTACACGTTGGCCCCATTTATGTGGTGTAGTGTTCAATTTAAGTACGATCTTGTATAGCTCACTGGGTCAATGGCACTAACAGGTTTGTTTTTATATACTAAAATCTACTAATCCCTCACTGGTGCAGTGCTTTGGATAATAGAATACAGCTAAATTACTAAATAGGATGTGTCATATTGTATGAAGGAGGATGGCCATGCATTCTGAAATAATAACAGGTAGGTAGGCGGTTTTCTATAGTGACTATCCAGGTAAGCTGTGCTTTGATATTTGTGCTTCACTGCAAAGCAAAACTTGTGTGCATGGACTGGTGCTGGGTGTAGAATACATGTGAGGGCACTCTCTCACAGCGAATGCAGTGCAGTGAACCACAGAACAGAGACAGCACAGCTAGAGTTTCACATTCAGCGGGGCTATGGGAAAGCTTTTCTTTCAGCACACCTAACAGGCTACTCAGGTCTCACAGTGCTTTGGGGAATATTTTATGAGTGGTAATTTCTTATTGAAACAAACTGAAAATCTAAAGGAAATCATTGATATAAAAAAAATACATGTCCTCATATTCTTTATAAACATTAAAACAGGGCTAAATGAAAGAAAGAGGTTTAAGGGGAATTTATATGGTTGCTCATCCAAAACCTTGCAATGAATGGTTTGGTCTGAAAATGAATCAAATTTTTATATTAAGGCACAACACAATACTCTGCCAGTCAAAATGATAACCATACAGTGCCCGGAGTCTGTATCTTTCTTGACTTCATATGTGTGTACATGAGAGACTGAGCCAATGTAGACTGGAATTACCTGTCTGAGAGAGTGAGGGTAAGAAAAACAACAACAAAAAACAGCTGAACACACATGAAGAAACAAAAGCCCTATAGGTTGTTGAGCTGTGTGGGTGTGTGGGTGTGTGTGTGTGTTATATGTCTAGTAGGCTTGCAGGGTTAGAAGAAAATCAAGCTCTGTTTGTGTATCTTGTGCTATTAAGAGTGACGAAGAAGAGCTAAGACAAAGGATTAAAAAATTCAGAAAAATACAGATCACTGAGCCAAGTCACTCTGCATTGCCTCAGAAGGTGAACCAGTCATCCTCAGAGATTATGGGTCTGCTGTGACCTACGACCCATACTCTGTCACAGAAGCTTGGCTATGACATGTAGGATAGCACAAATCAATGGATAGAATGACTGACTGTATTGTATTTCCATCCAAATGGATTTCGATCTAGAGGGAGAGGCACCAGCTAGAAATTCTATAGACACACACTCATTATTTGGATTCATTTAATTTAGACCTGAAATGCAAAGCACACAAAGGAGCAGTAATTTGGAAAAAATAATAAAGTGTGGTTGTAGTGTAGAATCAAAATGTTTCAACTTGGAGCTATGAAGCGCTTCCAAAGTAACAGTTGTTTTATTTTGGTATAAAAAATGTGCACCTTTTGTTATTTTTGAGTGCTATTTACATTGTTAATTTAGCCAGAGGAAGCCCTAGGGCTAATTTATACTTGAATATTCTCACACACAAGTGAAGCAGCTGGCTAGCTGGACCTTTCCCAACACTACACACCTTTTATTAGACCCTTTCCATTCCCAGAATGGACCCTGCTTGTTGGGAGAGAGTGAGAGACAAGAAGAGATACTTAGTCCATTCTTCCCATGCTAGTCACCTGCGTTGGGCATGAAAGCTAATGATATCCTGTACTCTTCAATCCCTCCCTCCTTCTCTTCTCCTTGTAGTCCATTCTAACTCTTTTGCCCCCCCCCCTTTGTGCCTTGTTCTTTCATGCTGGTTTTGTAGATTCTGTAGTGATCACATTTTTTTCTTACCTCCTTTTGACATTCTATCCCATGTACTGTTCACATGACTTTGCCTACTGTGGAAGGAAATTAACATGTGTTAGCAGGGGAAAAGACTCCTGAGAGCCCATGTCTGCAAAATTGAGACTCAAGGTGCAAAGGAGAAGCAGAGAAAATGTAGAAGTACTTAGGAAAAAGTGCCCACCAAATGCTTAAAACTGCTGCCAAATTGGTCCAAGTGGATAAAAACATGCTCTGTGGCAGCTGATATCCTATCCTGATTCTGACCCACCTCTGTCACAGCCTGTCCTCTTAGTCACATTCATTTCTCCCTCCCCTTTGGATCAGTCAACCCTTTCTGTACCCCTCCGGTCCATTTTCTCTGGCCTCCTCCCCCACATTTGTCTAATGGAGGGATCGTTTTAATGGACTGCCCAAAGCAGCAGAGGGGCAGACGCTGCTGCCACTCTACCTTTACCCCTCCACTCCACTCCTATCCTTTCCATCTTTCTGTCTACTACAGAAGTGGAAACATGCACTCTGTTTTAACTTTCCTTTGTCTTATTGCCCAGGCAACCCCCACCAGTTTGAATAGAAACTTTCACTTGGATTGACCAAATAGCAGGGGTTCCCTGCTTACTCAGTCACTCCAAATAAACAACAAAGCAGTCACTTTGGTCAGCAAGAGAACATCCTGGGGTTAGAGGACTGTGACTTTAAATTAGCTTTAAATCCAAGGGATAGGCTCGGCTCTGGTATGGAAAAACGATGTTGCTTCTAGGAGGGAGTGGGAGAGAGAATGTCAAAGGTCACTAAAAAGCCTTAAGTGAGGTCAATATATGGAGAGTAGAAGAGGGAGGCCAGTAAGTGCAAAAACTGAACTGGCAAAGAGAGGAGGAAGAGAGAGTCAGGCCAAAAACAAGTCGTGGGTTGGAATAGGGAGGTACAGGAGTTGATATAGGGTGGAAGTGCCGTGAATGAGGTTTCAGAAGGTCAGGTGCAGAGGGAGGATGAGGAAGGAAAGACAGAGATGATTAGACTGAAGCACAGGGGAAATGGCAAAAGCAGGATGTGAACAAGTTTCATGGAACGGGATGGACTGTGGAGAAGACACAAGCCGTCATGAGTATTATCGTAAGAACAGCAGGGAGAGGAAGCATGCCTTGCAGACAGCAGTTGAGTGTGCAGCTTAGGAGAAGGTTGTGGATTTGGTGACTGAAAAGATAAAGGGAAAAAAAGGATTGGCTGGAGGCAGATTGAGGCATGGTAGAGGGCAGGAGAGAAGGCTGGAGCCAAGACCAGAGGCAGTAAGTCTGAGTTTAGGTAAAGGTATGTGTGAGGAAGGCATGAATGAATGTTGAGTGATTTGGGGAAGGGAGGGAGGGGTTGTTTGCTTCTGCTGTTTGCATGTTAGCCTCCTGTCCTGTTGATATAACTGGGAATGTCCAGCGGATGTGGCTAGGTTGTGTCATGGGTGCAAATCTGTGGTTACCAAGTCCACTCGATGTAGTTCCAGAGTATGTCTTAAGGCAGCTGGGTTTGTGCTGTTTTGTAGCTCTCAGTCTCACTGACTGGACTAGAAACTTCATGTTACTCTTATATCATTATGTCAAAATGTACATCCTAGGTATCTATGGTGGGACTTCCATTAACCAAGTAATTAAGTTTTAAAGGACAAGTGTGTAAGATTTAGTGTCTATTGTTGTGGTTGCAGATTGCAACTCACTTGCGTCACCCTGCCCAAGCGCAAATAAGAAACTACGGTGGCCACACCACACACTTAAAAAGGCATCCTATCTAGTGTTCTTCTTCATCTTGGTTGGTCCTTTCTGGGCTACTGTAGAAACATGGCGGTTCAACATGGGGGAGGGGAGGCGATCCGCAGTGTCTGTAGATTAAAAACGTCTCATTCTTAAAAAAAAAAAATGTTTATGATACATTAATGAAAACATACTTAAGCATATTATTTTCCATTTCTACCAATAGATCCTCTTAAACAACTTGAAAAAATAAACCTGAAAGCCAGCTTAAAGATGAGTCAGTTCTCACTTGCCACGGATAGGAGTGATTTTTACCATTTCTTCGGCTCTCAGTTGTATTTTAACTTCCAGCTGCTTTTGAAGTAATTCTATGTCTCAACAGTTAGCATCTTCAGCTTTTGCTTGCTGTTTCAGCACAACCACTGTCTGTGTCCTTCCGTTATTTCCATCTCTTGTTGTCCTGTTTCTGCCTCTGTTTTAACTATTATGCAAATTGAGTTGGCACTGCACATATACATGGACTGAGCACCCCACTGCAAGTCTGTGTAGATGCTGATTTGAAGTAGTAAATAAGTTTTGTTTTGGTTGTTTTGTAGACTTTTATATTTATAAGAGAAAATCTTTTGTTTGTGGTATTTTGGCAAAACGAGCACACAGCATACTGACAATACAGACGGGGTGCAGAGGGGTTGAACATGCCGCAGGAATGCTTTGAGAAGTATGTAAACAAAAGTTTCTACAGGGTCTTAGATAATATTTTGGGTGGAATAAGTAGTTGTTTTTGTTGGAATGTAAATTAATGTAATTATTTAGCCATTGGCTCTATTTGGACTTAGACTAACACCTCTCAGTTTATGAAATTGTCATATGCTTTTTGCATTTCAAATCAGGCTTAAGATATTGTCTATGGAGCTTG